GAGAGGCTCACTGTGGAACAGATTATCAATGACTCACAGCAAGTATAGGCTGAAGCTGAAGAACATTAAAACAAGTGCACAGAAAGCCAAGTCCACGGGACCCAAAATGTGTCCGTGAGCACATTCCACTTGCATTTAGAGTACAGTTCAGGAACAGATTCTAATGCATTGAACACTTCTGAATGAAGACTAGATGAGTTGTGGAATGACACCAAGAATATCATCCATGAAAGAGGCAAAATGTCATTAAAATGAGAGAAAAGACCGAAGTGGATGTCTGAAATTTGTTCTTGAATAGTGAGGAAACCGAGTGAAGAGATGATGATGCAGAAGAGCGGAACAGAAGCTTTCAGGGACAGCTCGAGAAGAGAAAGCCGCCTCTTTGCACAGTAAAGACACGGGGCTAGAAAATCCAAAGGGAGGGAATACGTTGAGCAAATCTCAAGCTGAAAGCACTGAAGGGAAAAAATACAAGCTTCGATGGGCAACATTGAAGGGTTCTATGGACAGCACACTGCGTGATGTAAGACGGAGCTAAAGAAGGTGGAAGGAACACAGGCACCATACCAGAAAGAATTAGTCGACACTCTACCCTTTCAAGCAGCAGCCTATGATCAAGAACTGATGGTACTGAAGAAGTCCAAGCTACACTGAAAACATTAGTGAAAAGCAGGCTCCCGGAATTGAAATATCAATGGAAATGCTTTGACAAATCGATGCAGCACTGGAAGCACTTACTCATCTGTGCTAAGGATCTGGAGGTCAACAGACTAGAAAACACTCATTAGAATTGGACAAAGGCTCATTCAAAATCTGCAAATCTACTTACTGATAAAAATCAAAGACTACAGCCATCAATATAAAGAAAATCAGAATCCTTACAAGTAGACCAATATACAACATCATGATAAATGGAGCAACATTTGAAGTTGTCAAAGACTTTGTTTTACTCCTGCACCCACAATCAATGCTCATGGAAACAATAGTCAAGAAATCAAACAATGTGTTGCATTGGGTAAACCTGACACACATGGCCTCTTTAGGGTGTTACAGAGCAAGGACATCACTTTGAGGACTCAGGTGCTCCTGACCCAGGCCATGGTGTTGTCAATCGCCTCATATGTGTGTACAAGTGGCACAGTGAATAAAAAAGACCACAGAAGAATCGATGCATTTGAACTGTGGTTGGTGAAGAATATTGGTAGTACTATGAAATGCCAAGGAGCACTGGTGGCATCGTGATAATGAGTTGGGCTGCTAACTGCAAGGTCAGCAGTTCAAAGCCATCAGGTGCGTCTTGGGAGAAAGATGGTGCTTTCTATTCCCATAAACGGTTGCAGTCTTGGAAACTCACAGGGGCAATTCTACCCTGTCCTCTAGGGTCCCTATACTCGGCATCTACTTGATGGCAGTGAGAGAGACAGACTGCCAGAAGAAACAGACCTGTCTTGGAAGAAGTACAGCCAGAATACTCCTAGAAGTAGGATGGCTAGATTTTGTGTAACATACTTTGGACGTGTTATCAGGAGATTACCATTCCCTGGAGGACACCATGATTGGTAGAGGGTTGGTGGAAAAGATGAAGCTCATCAATGAGATGTTTTGACCTTGTGGCTGCAACAATGGGCTCAAGCATAACAGGGCAGTGTTTCATTCTTTTGTATGAATGTATAGGGTCACTATGAGTCAGAGCTGACTTGACAGCACCTTACAACCAAGAGTTTTAAGTTTTTTCAATTCTGAGGAAAACAAACTACCTGAACAGTGTAAGGATCTCCCTTCTTTAAGATAGATGTTCATCCCAATTATATTTTGCCAAAGATTCAGATGGGAGAAAGAATCCACTATTCAGTAATGCTTCCAAAGATTTTAATTTTGTTAACCACATCAACATGTATATATACAAGGGGGTATTCCCCCCCCCGCCCCCCCAAGAAAAAAACCCAAAAACCAAACAGAATTACACAGGGCGTAGCAGAGCTTTTGTAGTATACATTTTCCCACTAGGCAAGTATCAAGCAACTTGCTCTTACTGCACCCAGTGGCATCACCCGGGAAGGTTCTCTCTGGTCACAGTGAAATTTTTCATAAAAGCAGTTTTGCTTGAACTTTGTTTTTTGTAATGGCTGATTGAAGAGAACAGTGTGCGGCTGTGAAATTTTGTTTTCTGCTTGGGAAAAATGCCACAGAAACTGTTGCAAAGTTGAACACAGCTTACGAGGACAGCACTATGGGGAAAACTCAAATGAATGAGTGGTTTTCTCATTTCAAAAAAAGGTGAAATGTCCATTGATGACAAACCTCATTCTGGACATCTGTCAACTTCCTGAATGGTCGGAAAATTTCAGCTTGTAGTGCATTTGGAGTTCATTCCACCAGTTCATACTGTTAATCAAGCTTTCTATTTATAGCTTCTGAAAAGATTTACGTAAACAGTGTGCAACAAAAAAGGCCTGACTTGTGGCAGACAGGGGACTGGCTTTGCCATCATGACAATGCACCTGCTCATGCAGCCATCTCAGTGTGCCAGTTTTGGGCAAAAAACAGCATGCCTCTCTTGCCCCACACACCTGACCTTGTTCTGTGGAACTTCTTTTTGCTTCCATGAATGAAGAGGGCATGAAAGAACAGAGATTCGATGACATAGAAGAGGTGAAGAAAAAAACGAGGGTGGTGCTGTCAGTCATCCAAACCGATGAGTTTGAAAATTTTTCCAAGACTGGAATCGCAGAGTTGAAGTGTATTCAGTGTAATGGAGAGCAGTACTTTGAAGGCGATACGGTTGTTTTGTAAGAAAAAAATTAAATACATAGCTTTTTTTGTGGCAGGGGAGGGAGGTGGGAATTCGTTTTTTTTGGTGGTACCCCCTTGTATACAATCTTTGTTAATTATGAGTACCTGTATGCCCAAGATATTGTGTGTTCAGCTTCTTAAGTGATGCTTGGTGACCACACAAATTGGCAAACTCTTTGCAGTTCCAGCCTCCTACTCCTAAACCTGATTATTCATCGTCCACAGGTTAGAGCTAACGTTTCAGATTCATTCCTGAGTCCAAATAAGCTTTGTTGCCTTTCCCCAACATGAAATTGTTTATTCCAGTTTCTAAGGTTAGTGATTCTGTGTTTAATTCCCCCTCCTTTCTCACCCTACCATCACTGCTTCAGTCCCGACACCTCCTATGCTGATGATGAACAGCTTGCTGTCTTCCTACTGTCTGCCTCCCTCCCATCCTTCCTCTAGAGGAGACTGCAGCCAGTCTCTCCTTTCTGCCCGTAAGGCCTTTTCCTAACCTGAAATACTGCTGCCACGGGTCCAGTCCCGAGAGCTACGTTCTATTCCCCTGGGGGTTCTGTGAACTCGGTGTGCACTTTTAGTCCATGAGTCTTGAGGGAGCCAGTTCTTGAGGCCAGAACAGCCTCCCTCCTGGACGTGGCAAGCTCCTGCTGGGCTCCAATGCCACCTCCTGTGGCCCTTTGTTACCCACCCCACACTCCTCCTGCTCAGGATTTGCCACACCTTCTCCTGGCACCCTGCAACTGTAAGGGCAGGCCTTGCTTATGGCATTCTCATGTGCCTGGCAGATGCCTAATAAACATGTGTGTAACAAGCTGGTGTGGACTGGTGCGCTGATGAAGACAGGTCTGTTTAGAGCTCTGCACAGAGTAAATAGGGAAATGGAGATTGCATTACAGCTGAGAAAACTGCCCTCCCAATTACAGTTTTCCCATTTCATTCTTTTGACAGTTTATAGTCCTTCTGAATAAATGTGTTTCTTTTGCCCTGCTTGCAAAAGCAACAGTGAACACTTCACGTTGACATGGGATCAGGCATCAGACAGGCTCGAGCTCAGTTTGCTATTTAAGTTGCTTGTGTGTGGTGCACAGTTATTTCACATCTTCAGGTCTCGTGTTCTCATCTGCAAGATGGGAGGCTATTCTAATCGCACTTGCTAAGCCTGCAAGGAAGATCGAGAAAACGCACTTCAAGTGCAGACCTGTGTGTGGCACAATATGTCCTCAACAAATACACACAGCTGCTACTGTATGTTCAGCAAGGAGAAGGCACTAGGTCTGTGTGACTTGGGTAGAGCTAGAGGTCATGGCCCAGGTTTTTGTGCTGTACGAAAAGAAAATGCCAATCTGATTGGAGAGGGCTGGGGGGGGGGTGTATTTCTGATCATTCTCAATAGTCACCAACTAGGGTTCGTCTGGAGAGCCCTGGTGGCATAGTGGTTACGTTGGGCTCCTAACCACAAGGTCAGTAGCTCCAAACCACCAGCTGCCAAGGCCTTCTAACTTCAATGAAGAGTTAAGCCTCGGAAACCCACAGGGGCAGTTCTCCTGTCCTGTCTCTGAGTCAGCATCAACTTCATTGCAGCCGCTTGGCTTTGGACCCTCCAATCTATGGCTGCACTGGGCTAGACAGATGCTCAGGGGTGTGTCAGTCACTCCTCTGAAAATCCTCCCCCTTTCCCAGAATCGTCTCACCTGTGACCACCCCCTCCGTAACCCAACATGCTCCCGGGACACCATTCCGATTTCTCTTCGTTTGGCTCCCCCTCTAGCCAATGGTCCTGCCAGGTGAAGTCCTGCTTTTCTTGGAAAAATAATGGCAGCAGTTCCCTATGTCTCTCTCCCCCCACCCTTGGATTTGCAGTGAATTAAAATCCTCAAGGAAATCACTACCAATGCCTGTGCCACCCAACCCTTAACACGAGCGGTATCTTTTTGTCATGGCATTTCTAAGTCTTCTGCAAGTGCTCTTCTATTGGAGTGGCGGGAATGGTGGGATCACCTGGGTGTGTAATGGGCCGTGTGCTGTCCAGGCTTCCATCCCCTGCTACTGCTCAGGCTCGCCGCGGTGCTGTCTAGAATGGCAGCATGGACCCTTTCCTGTGGGTTGATAGTGGTTGATCACACTATCTTCCCTGCGAGCTGGGAAGAACACTGGGTAGGGCAGTTAATTAGCGGTGCTTGCCACAACGGAATCTCTTATAGCCATTGCTTTTTGAAGAATATTTATTGACATGGGAAAATGCTCACAATGTTAAAGAAAGCAGGATACAAATCTGTAAATACAGCATGATCCCAATCTTGTAGTAAAATAAATTATATATGCATAGAAAAAATACAGGAAGGAAATACACTAAAACATGAACAGTAATGATCTCAGGGTGGTGGGGTTGGGACTCTTCGTTTATTTTCGGCGCTTCCCAAACTTTCCATGATGAACATATATTACTTTTACAATGGGGGGGGGGGGCGCGATACAATAGTACTGGGAGGCAGGCAGCAGGACAGATGTGGTTGAAGGGTTGTTCAGTTGTTCCGCGCTGCTGCCCATGTCTGCATTCCCTAAGGAAGGACAGCATACACCCAGCCGGTGCCCAGGGCCACAGGACGCGTGAAGGGGACACATATGCCTCGCCACTGTTCTTCCTTTTAGGGCATCCTCCTCCATATACTGCTTCAAAGACCCGGAGGGTGTGCCTGGGGGAGGTGGGGCAGGCAATGTGGTAGCCAGCACTTCTGGGTCCCCCACTGCAGGCCACTGGCATTGGGCTGATGTCCAGGATGGGGGGTGTGGGGGGCGCAGACCTGCAGTTCTCTCCTCATCTGTTCAAAAGTATTTCACGTCTTCACCTGAAGTGCAGTGTGAACCTGACCAAGCTGCCCACTTACAATTCAACCTCGTGACCTTCCTGAAATCAGTTCTGCTAAAATAGTTATTGCTTAAAATGGCCTGAGAATGGCTACTCCCCTCACCCCTCTCTGCTCCCAAGGGATGGGCTCCCAGCATTCCAAAGTGGTACAGAGGCAGTGTGGGCCCATTGGGCAGTGTGGTGAAGAGGGAGGTGAGGAGCTGTTTGCTGTCACCCACAGATTTGGACTTCCTCGAGATGATCTCTAATGTGATGTGATGTGATGAGGGAGGGTTACACAAGCAAATGGACACAGAAAGCCCAGCACACAGCAAGCATTCCAGTGAGGTCAGCCCTTGCTCCGGGCCGCCCAGGAAGTCGGTTTGGGAGAGCTCACACACCAGAACAAGTCTGGGCTGGCACAGCACGGGGCAAGTCACACAGCAGCCAGATTCAGGGAGAGCAGGGCGGCACAGCTATGCAAACAAGACAATTCAAACACTCACACTACAGAAAGCCTTACAAGGGTCACTCCACGAAACAGGTCTTCACGGAGGTTGGCTGACATGCGTGCCAAAACTATTTGATTGTAGAAATTATAAAAATACGTTAAAAATGCATTTTTGAATGAAATAACAAAAATACAGAAATTATCCCCCACGCCCCCCAGCATTTCACTTAATCTACAATGATGGGTTGCCAAGCTCTTTCTCTGCTGTAGGGAAAGGCCTGGGTCACCCACCACCTCCACACCAACCGCTGAGTTGGCGAAACATCCTCACACCTACTGTCTCCTCTTCAAGGCGCCCAGGGTCACAGCCCAGGAATCTGTCTGTGGCCACCCTGTGGTGCAGAGGGGTTTTCTGGGCAACTAATGTCCTTTGGTAAATAGATCTGGCCTGGTTTGCTGGACCTTGAATTGTGTTCTGCCCTCCCCGGCGTTTCCTGGTGCCCTTGCTAAGCCTGCCTTCCCCCTAGCAGCTCCCCGCCCTCTTTGCTGGGCTGAGAACCCTGGTCATGAAATGGGTTCCAACAGAGGCAAATCTCATGAAGAGGGAAACTCCAGATCTTGCCTCTGAGCAAGCGGCCAAGAAAGTGCGCCTCTCGTCAGGCAGCTCAGCTCTCCAGGTGACGGACGCTCTGTCTGAGAAGTGATTTCTGGGCCAGGCCCAGCCTCTGAGCACTGCCTGTCCTTTGCCTGCACTTGGGACGGCTAGTGAGAAGTGAGATAGTGTGGGGAAAGCCTTTCCAACGGACTGTGACACAGTATCATCCGTCCCAGTAGCTATAAAGAAACACACAACAGATGGCTAAATTGAATCAACCCCAAGGTTTTATTTAATTTAAAGTTTTCAAAGGCAGTGGTTAAGCACATTTTCTATCTATCTATATATGTATGTATGTGGCTATGGATGTACATACATACATATATATATGTATATATATGGGAACCAACCCTCTCCAACTTGAGCCACTCATCACCTAGGCCCACTGTCTAGTGCGATTCATCTTCTACGTCTTCATATGCCCAGTTCTAAAAGTAAAAATAAACAACAACCTTTATCAGTTTAACAGCAACTACTTGTGTTTCTGGTTTTTAAATAAATAAAGTTACTGTTAAACTGATCACACAGAGTAGAAAGGTAGCACGTACACACACACACACACACACACAAACCATAGCCCCCAAATTTAAAACATGTGACGGATGAATGACCTATATGTACACAGGGGGAGCTGCAGCCTCCCACTCCCAGCAGAGGCCATGAAAGGACCCCCATTGCTTAGGCAGCCCAGCCCCTCCTTCCACAGCTGGGTGTGCGCCTGGCACCCTGAGTTAGACCTCAGAATGCAGGCTCCCCTCCCCACCCATGTGCTGATTCAGATGGTGGTTCAGTTCTATGGAACTAGTGTTCAGGTACATCAGGGAATAAATAGGCATTTGTAGCTGCCTGGGAACTAAACCATCATTTACAACTCTTCATTGGGAAAGAAGGATTCTGCAGTTGTCAGAAGTGACAAACTTGCAGAATATGTACTCAGTTTGCCTGGTTGGGGCTGTGTGTGTGTGTGTGTGTGTGTGGTGTACTTCGCGACATTTACACAAAACAAATGAAGTGAAGAGTGGTGCGCGGTCCCTGGAGCAGCTGCTGGGACTTCCGTTCCGTGAGACCTGCCCTGAGTGCCCGCGCCGTCGGCCCTTCTCTACAGCCCGTCTGCTCTCACGTGCCTCGTCTGCTGGCAAGACTCAGGAGGGGCAGCTCACGCCAACGAGAAGAGGACACAGCTCAGTCTTCAGCTAAGAATCCCGGCAAACAGCATCGCCAGATTCAACCAGGGCAGCTTAATAGAAAGGAGCCCTCCAGGTCCATGCTGATGAAATGGGAGTACTTCTTTCCCCCTGCTTCTATAGCCCCGGTAACTCCATCTAACTGCAGTTCTGCAGGAATGCCTCAACATTGCAAAAAACACAGGATCACCCCTTAAATACGCTGGATTCTCAATGAGTAGACCAGTTAATGTGTTTCTAGCCAAAGCAAGGGCATAAATGTTTGAGAGAGAAGCTTCCTCTGGAGCTACAGAGACAAGATGCCGATAAAAGCAACAGTGCGCGCTGAGCCGAGGGCGCACTCAGTCTGTGTCGGAGCTGGCCTCTTCGATGATGGAGTACTGGGTGAGGGCTTCCTCCAAAGGCGTTATTGTCCCGTCAGGTTTTAGCCCCATTGGTTTAAGCAACTCCTCTCTGGAAAAGGAGAAAAAAGAGAGAGGGGTGGGGGGAGAGAGAAAGAAAAGTATTCACCGACATCACACACACACCCTTCCCCCACCCCAAGCCACATCCTTAAAAAGAAAAGTCTTTAAAAACCAAAGCATTTTCCTTGAAGAGCTCTGTGTGTTTGTAACAGGAAAGAGGAAAGGGGCGTGGAAAGAAAAGGAGGGAGAGAGAGACTTCAGCCACACAGACCAAACCCACAGGCCAATGAAAAGTACGACAAGTCAAGGTCTAAATGGCTCAGGGCAAGGAGCACGTAGCAGGTCTCTTGTTTGTCATCATTCACACCCAACCTGCCAACCCCTGCCTTTTTTTTTTTTTGGTGGATTCGTTTTGTTTTAATGAAGTTCGAGTGGCCAAAATTTCACCCACCCTCAACAGACCAGGCATACAATTAAATGGCTGATTTAACACACATGCTTTTCACTCAGCAGCGTCAACCTCCCAGATGTTTGTCTCCACAATCTCAAGTGACACACAAGCATGTTTAATCTGTGGGTCTTCCCCAACTCTCCCCCCAGTCACCCCCTTTTCTTTCCTACTCTCCCTCTTTCTCTCCTCTAAAAACCACACGCAAAAAACACCATTGCTTTTGTTTGTGGCAGTTTAATTATGGGATTGACAGCCATTTTAATCTCTTCAAAGCTTCCCAACTACCTCTTTTCAACTAATCCAATTATATCTACTCCACAAGTTACAGCCTCATCTAAAGATGATTAATTATTGATTAAGCCGATCCAAAAGCATTAGAGAAGATTTATTTAATCTTTTCAGGCTCCTATTTATTACATGGCGATTAAGGCCAATGTACCTGTTGCGTTGACTGATTCCCTCTGGCCCCACAAGATCAGTGGTGGGCCCCTAAGAGAGCCTGGAAAAGGCACCAGGGCTGCTTAAACCTGATTTCTCATGGAAATGGGCATCGAGCCCTGACACCATAGCTCTGACAAGAACCTAGGTGGCAGCTGGGCGTGGGATTTGGAGTGAAGGAAAATCAAACCTCCTCTAACCTGCCTCCCTGCTATCATCTTCTCAGGCCAGTGCAGAGATGGGCTCCCTCCCAGGGGACAGCCATGGGAGGCGTTAGAAGCACACTGAGGCACCCTGAGGAGAGCAAAGAACAGTTCTGCCGACTAATCAAGCAGCTCTGGCCAGCACCAGACAACTAGGTATTTCTGAGGGTTGGCAAAAATCTCTTGGAGAAATGTGAGTGGCTGAATGGCTCCTGAATGTGGAAGAAACTCATTTCCTCATCCAAGAAATGGGATCATAATCATAGCGTTTACAATTGGAGGGAGCCTCAGAGATCATTGAGTCCAACCCCTTGCTTAGGAAAGGCAACTGAGTGACTTACCCAAGGTCACATAGCTAGTGGCAGAGCTGCACCTGGGACACAGGTCTCCCAAGTCCTGGTCCAGTGTTCTTTCCAGCACACCATATCTGGATGAACTGTCCTAACGCACTGATAGAGCACACTCTGAGCTACACACCGGGGAGACAAGGGAAGACTGGCCACAGCTACTGGCTTGACGAGCAGATGAGACAAACACACGAGGAAGAACGTACACATGGTGGGGGAGTGCTGGAGTAGAGCTATGGAGACAGAGCTGCGCAGCTCCTGAGATGACACCGTGACTGAGCTGCCTGAGGAAGGAGGGGAAGGCACCACCAGTGAGGGGTCAGTGAGGCGTGGGAGCACCCTTCCTCCCCATGCCACTTCATCTTCCCTAACTCTGGGCCCCTGGGGTGCTGTGAAAAGGCCCCGGGTTTGTGGAAGAGGGATGCTTGGTGAAGGAGCAGCAGGAGATGGCTGTCAGGGTAGGCTGGGGCTCAAGAGTCACATGTCGTTAAGGAGGCAATCCTGTTAAGGTGTGCCTACTCAGGCTTGTCTCATAGGAAAGTGACTGGCGGCAGTGAGGTAGGTTCACTGAAATTGGAGAAGCTAGAAGCAGAAAGAGATGTGATTGGGAGGCTACAGAGTGTGAGAGAGGTCAGCTGATGGAAGGTGTGGATGTGAGAAGAAAAGGCATCCTTTCTCAGGCACTGGAAGGGCATGGTGTTGGTGAAGGAGAGGAAGGAGACTGGGCACAGTGGGTCCTCAATAAATATAGTCCAGGGGCCATGGTACCAACGTATGGGGACCATTTGTCAGCAATGATTCTCACATAATCTTAACTATTAATTCTTCCCTTGTGGCTTCCAGCCTGTATGACCAACTGTATGGTAAAACCACTCACTGGCTTAAGTGTATAGGAGATAGAGCAGGTGCTGTGGGAAGGTATATGAAGAGGTTGAGGGGCTTGCATGACTACCAGGTGAAATGCTCAGTGTATGCATAGCGAGAAGATTAAAATGTTGCTTTAGCATTGATATACCCTCTCTCTAGTTTAGAATACACAGTCCCAGTTCTGATTGCAGTAAAGGACTTTAACATTGGATACTATACACCAATAAGTGGTAAGAGGAGAAGGGAGACAACATACTCAGAATGAAATATTAAGACACGTAAGAAAATTGAATGGTCAGAAGGGGTTCGTGGAGCGAAGGCACAGGCAGGTGGGGTGGGGGATAAAGAGAAGGGATAGGTTGAGTTAGGAATGGCAGATGGGGCTACAGAAATTGTATCAGGGACAGTGAATAGCTGGATGGGTTAACTACCACCTTTCAGCCTAATATTGATGCACCTCTTTGATAACAGGATAAGGCAGGTTATCAGCCACACAAGCTGTCAAACAACTCGTATGAAGTGCCTAGCACTTCCTTGCTCAAATCCCAGAGGAAGACAGGTAAGCTTCAGAGATCCTGTGGGTTTGGTTCCGGCTTCCTGGTGTCTATCAATGTAAGGGTCACACAATACTAGATGGTCTATTAAGGCGCTAAGTTTGACATACTGTGACAATCACCAAAAAACGTGACACAGAGACATGCTGAAAACAATGGTGCTGATGGACCCTGCTTGATGCAGGGTTGCCACCAACCTTCAATCCGTGAAAAATGTCTATTAGTGAGGTGTAATTAAACCAGTGTACCTGTGCTTCCCAATCGAGTTTGTTGGCTTCATTTCCCATTCCCGAATCCAATTTTGCAATCGAATTAATTAAGAACATTATATTAGCTTTACTGCCAAACTATAGGAGAGAATCTGTGGAAAAAACCTCAACTCCCATTGAGCCGACTCCCACCTCCTAGAATCCTTTAGGACAGGGCAGACCTGCCTCTTTGGGTTTCTAAAGTGGTCAATCTATTTGGTGGGTTTGAACTGCTGACCTTGTGGTTAGCAGGCCAACTTGTAACCCACTGCACTGGGGCTCCTTCCACATAGCATGACAAGGGGCCCAGATTGAATTCTCACGCACTAATGGATTCTTCTCAAACATTATTATTTTATTTCATTTTGGGGTGCTTTGTACTGCTCCTCCATGACGACCTTGGGAAGTATGAATTCTTTTCTTGTTCTCGCCTCCCGGAGATGATGGGTTGACTGACTTCTGCAGGAAAGATGTTTGTGAGAACGGGAGGTGGGGGTGGGCTGTGGGTGGGGGTGGAGGATAAGCATTTGAACAGAGGACTTAAGGCAGTGATGTGCTCTAGTGGCATGAACACAAAGATTAGGAGTCAGGAAGTCTAAAGTCCCGGGTCTCCCAGTTACCTGCTTCGTGATCTCGGGCAAGGCTGAGGATCAGTTTTCCTGTGAGACAGGGATGGTGATGAAATACTACTCTACTTACTTCTTATTGATAATCTAGAGTAAGGGCACTGGCAGCAGTAGTTGTAGTAATAATAAAAATAACATAGACGAAAGAGTTCTGTGAACTCCAAAGAACTGCTAAATAGTAGTTACTAAGTTTGTGGTGTAGGAAAAAGTGCCCCTTGGCTTTAGAGGCAGAGATACCTGGGGTTCTATCTTGAGTCACTGTCAACCTTGAACCTGCTCCACTAGAGTTTCTTTGCAGAACTAGGTAAGGATGAGACCCACCTTCCCGAGTTGTTGTGAGGACCAGAGGCCATTATACATACAGAGTGCACAGTGCAATGGCTGGAGTGTAGCTGAAGCCTCAAGGTGCAGTTCCTATTCCTTATTGACTTCTGGGAGGTGCACACTCTTTGGGAGTAAGTGGAGGAAGAATATGCAGAAGCAAAGAGAAGACATGGTCCCTGTCCTCAAGAAGCTTTTAGTCAGTTCAAAAGCTAAAGAACACACACACGAAGCAATACTAAGGATTACAGCCTAGCAGATCAACAAGCTTGAGATGATTGACGGGCAGAGCCCTGCCTCCCCTGTTGTGGCACTTCATTGATATACCACTTGTGCATCTAGAATCTGTTGGAATGAGCATCCCCGTCCTATCTGGCTGTGGAAGGATGATCCATGTACAGATGTGTGACGAGTTTTTCTTATGGGCCCCAGGCTATTTCTCACACCCCCGGCAAAACTTTGCTGGTTCTCTTCCTCTCTGTCCTATAGATGGCAGCCCACATACACCAAAATGCAATCTTTGAGATTCACTCCTGAGATTACTGGTCAATCACCTGGTTACACAGGACCGTTTCACTTCACAGGAGATGGTGCATCCCTAAGGACCAGACGTGTACAGGGAATGGGGAGACTAACTGAATCCCACCAGTCATATGGCCTCTGCACTCAAGGGAGGGACACAGGAGGAGATGGCGACGAGACTATAGGCTCCTTGCAGGAAGTAGTCAGGACAAGGGGGAATGTGGATTCAGGGGGAGAAAGGCATCCCAGAAGCATTAGTCAAGCAGTGGCACAGAAGCAAGAGTTAGTTGTGTGCAGGGACTGGCAAGCAAGCAAAGGAAAAAGAAAGCTCAAAAAAGATACGGGATACAGAAGAGCACTTGAATGGAGACTGAATCTTTGCTGACAAGTCTGGATCTTATTGCAAAGGAAATTTTGTCCTGAATTTCAAGCGTCCATATGTAAATAAATATAATTCTCACTACCAAATTTG